AAGAAGTATTTTTATTTTCTCACAGGAATTTTCAGATCAAAACACAATTGACACTACTGACTGTTATTGAGAATTCTTAATTTTTGAAAGCTAACTCTTATTTTTCCCAGTAAGTTTTCAAAGAAAAGAAAAAAAAAAAACTCACTGGAACAGTTAAAAAATAATTGTTACAAAAAAAAAAAATACTTGTCAGCCATGTTTAAATTCAATTCGCGGCATTTTTTGCACACGGTACTTTCTTTTCTCGAAACAAAGGTGTAGCGTGAGGGGGGAACACGCTTTTTGTTTTTTTGAGAACTGCTCTTTTATTTTAGTAATATATATAGTATATATATACATTTATTAATAAACATACGTTAATATAAGGAATTAATATGCATATATACAAAAAAATTAAAATAAAGAAACAGTTTTCTATGAAAAAAAAGCATGTCCCCCCCCCCTCATGCGACGCATATGGAGACACGTGAACGACCGTCATCTTGTTCGACAATTGGCGGGTAATTTAGAGCGGTCATTCAGTTTTGCTATAATGTTGAATAGGCATGTTCACGTGTAATTTTTCCCTATGTTATAACGTTTGGCATTTTTAAATAAATTTTATTATTTCAATTTTCGAATTATAACTTCGACAGTACTAATAATTTTAATTTCATTTTTTAGAAATTACCCTTCTGCATTTTAATTAAAGCATAGTTATTATTTTTTAATATGAAGTCAATGCCGAGCAAAAGATTAAGCTTTTAAAAACTGTATTCACCAAGTATTTTATAAATTATTTATAATCAACTTAATAAATTTGTAATCCGATAATTGAAAATCAAGAATATGCCTACTTCCTCCCCCCCGGACATTTTTATTTATGTCTTTCCTTTTCCTTCAATACAGCCGTGATTTATTTATATATCTAAGGATAATTTCATTGAAAGAGCTGGTAAGTAATTTTACAATAAGTTTGAACTTTATTTTTATAAAAGAAAATACTTAGTTTACGTTTTTATTAATAATATTAAGTGCTTAATTAGTTCAATTAACTCGAGATTTGTTTTTTAAATCTATTTCCTTTTTTAGAAAAACTTCACCAATTTAGAGTAATATGTAACAAGAATTTATTTAAAAAATTATAATTACTTCTTTAATGTTTAATTACAATAATTTTTTGTCAGAACAGTGTTGCATGAGTTAGAATAAAGGTTTTGTTTTAAACGTATTTTGCTAATCAATAATTATTAACTTTAAAAGAAATACTAAAAAACTTTTTCTTTAAATATACTCATTTAAAAGATTGTTCTTTTCCTAAATTAAAACTAAGTCTCTTTGTTTTTATATTTGTTTAGTTTCCAGTTCAAACAAAGGGAGAAAGGATCAGGTTTGTTTCTTTCGTAATTCAAACTCCTACATCATGAAGCCCATCCCACTCCAGACGATTTGCGAAAACGTCATTTTTGCCGTTCTTGGCCACGCCCCCTCAAAAAACTCCCCGCAGGCACTCGTAGGGATCTCGCCAAATTTTGGCGCCAATTTTGGCGTAGATCACGATACGGAAATCATCCCCATCGATTTAAAGTCCTAACATACTATTAAATTTTGCACATTCAATATAAATGACACAAAATTCATTGCATAAGAAGGAAAAACCTCTGGAATAAAAACTCATATGATCAACTGATATGATGAATCTAAAATGTGAGAAAATCTTTCTTCAATTTTTTAAAAAATCGCTTAATTTAAAAAAAAAAAAAAAAAAACTCAAAAAGGGTGTCTTTTTATTAATAAAGCATTTCAAAGATCCTAATAAAGTATTTGTATAAAGTTTCAAAGCTATAAGAGAATAAGAAAAGTGACTGATAAATTTCAGCTTTAAAAAAACCCAATCAAATGAAATGCTATTAAAAATATATAATAATGCAAAAATAATTTAACAATCAGATTTTTCACACCAGTAAAGATTTTCTACAGGGTCTCCACTCAATTTCAGAAAGAAAAATTCCTCATCTTTTCAGGTAAATTTCAATCAAAATCTAGTCCATATTTTATCTATACCATGCAATTTTTTGTCAGAAAACTTTGATTTGTTTTACTCTATATACTTTATTTGATCTATTGATTTTTTTATATTATATAACTGCATGAGGATGGGAACATATCAGTTTGACTAAAATGTGAAATTTTTACAACAATAAATGTAATAGATGTTAGAACAATTTAACTCCAAACTTAATAACTGATTACTGTTATTGATAATTCAAAGACTGGTTATTTTCCACGCATGATATAGGAAATTTCAAGTTTTTGTAAAAAATGGCAATTTTTCCGAACTATTCCCTGATGTTTGGAGTTAAAATATAATTCCCTGACAATTCCAAGTTTTCCTGGTCTCCCTGATGCGTGGGAGGGAGCCCTGTTTCAAAGTTGTAATAAAAAAAAAAAGATGAATAAAATCACTTAAACAATAAAATTTAACTAATTTCTAAACATTACTTTAAATTGTAGCTATGTGATTATGTTAGCTATAAAATGTTCAATAAGAAACAAAATACAACACCTTTCATTTTTTTTTTCTGATTCACGTATTTCATTTAAATTATAAAAGCTGCTACATCATAGACATAACTCAGACAAAACCTGTGATCGAAAACAGATCAATGTACATTGTTGTGTACAGCACAACATTGTATATCACTGCCCCGACAGGAAATTGTTATTTTTCCTTAAACTAAAATTCATTAAAATTACACAAAATCTGTAGCAGCTTGTTCTCATAGGTAATGAATGATAATACAATGTAATGTTTAATAGAATATCACGTTGAAAAAAAATTACCTATTTTTTCTTGACTTTAAATATGCTAATATGCTATTTTTATCATATGAGTGATTGCAGATTCTGCTTTTAACAGCCTCTTTTATTTGGAGTTTAGTCAAAGGATCAATAATAATGTCCGTTGTTTCAGTTACTAATACGTCATCGTCCAAAGCTTCTGCAACTACGAAGGTAGAAAAAAGTTCAATCAGTATTCAAATTATTTTTTGCTATAAAAGCTCAACTATTTTTTTTTTTTTTAATTACAAAGCACTTTTCATTTTATGAAACAAAGTTTATATTGTAATGCATTTTCAAAAAGGATGAATAAAAGCATGAATTGTTTAGAGTGCCAGTAAAAGAGAAATTATACAGACAATTCATTCACATTGCATTTTGTTGTGAAAGCTTTTATAATTTCTTTAAAATCTGAAAAACATTTTCAATGATACTATTAATCAAGAAAAGATGGTTTTTTATTTTAGAGATAATATATAGTTTCATGTTCTACGAATCAACTAATATTGCTTACCTATAAAAGCCAAAATATATTTTTAAAATGTTCAGTACCTAAATAAAATAAATGGAATGTCCTGAATAACATCTGATCTAATGTTTGGATTTTCATGTACTATGACTCAATCATAATGGTTCGAGGGCTTTACCTTAAATATGCTAATTAATTAGTATAAACAATACATTAAGTTACAAAATTAGACACAAAATTCTACTTTCACTGAATAAACATAATTTTTTTAAAATTGATTTGGATTCCTAAACCTCACATTTTGGAAGGTAGCAGCAATCTGGAAAATATGCTCTCAATAGTTTCAGGAAGGCAGTCAAAAGGTTCAACCCCTTAAAGTTAATTTTACTTTAGGAAAATTTTGCAATATCTTGAAAACTTTGAGTGAATAAAAAAAAATATTTTTAAATAATTATTTCTTATTATTTGATTCAATAACATTTGGAAAAAAAATTCATACGAAAGCTATACAAATTTGTAATTTTGATTAAGAAAGAATTTGTAAGAATGTAATTTTAATTGGCAAACTACAAAATTGGAATGAAATTGATTGAATAATTCTTGAGAAATTGAATTTTAAATATAATACTTTTTAAAATTTGATAACTCTATTTGATCAATTATCACTATTTGATCACTATTTGATCAATTTTGTACAAATTTCCTTTTTGCCATATAAAGTTACTTTCATTAAAATGATGTAGAAATTTATACATTTCACAATTCAAAAATGTTTTGATCATTACTAAATAAATAAAAAAAATAATAAATATTTATTAAAAATTATATTTGCACAGAATTATTTTATGATAGTTAGGGCAAAATGCAAAACTACTTTAAGTGGTATAAGCTTTCAACTGCTCCCTTAACCAAACAATTAGGACAATATTTACTAGATTGCATATATTTATGGCATAGTATTTGAAATATTAGAGATGAAAAATTATCTCTTTTTTTTTAACACCATAATTGAAACTGTAATTTACTGAATGCTAACTGATTAATTTATTAAATATAGCACTTTATAAATTTCTCAAATTATTAAAACTTCTAGTAGAAAATTCAGCATTTGTATATTAATCTGTTGTGTTTTATTGCTGATAATTGGTTGATTCATGATTCTTTTTTATTTCACTGTTTTCATTTAAGAAACCAGTGCACAGTTAACATGAATTTTCAAATTAAATGTAATAGGATATCTCTAACACTTTAATAGATCTGAGCAAACAATTGTAGGAGGTCTGATCCAGGAGTTTCCTGGTCTTCTGGATAGGGTTCGAAGTTACAAGGCTTCAGAGTTGAACATTAGTAGTCGTAAACCGAAAATTGGGTTGGCTGTTCAACGACGGTTATAAAAATATTTTTAAAAAATTACTCAGTATGAAAAAAAATTTTAACAGTTAAAATTGGCCTTTTCTATCCCACAGTCTATACATTTTTAAAAAGCTATTTTAGAAAATTCTATATTTATTTAAAGCCTAATAAAGGAAAATGGAAGAAAAAAAATTTACTCTCATTCTTGAGCATTTAAAAAGGTTTGAGAAGATATTCAATCGCAGCAAACTGTTTTAGAAACTAAAGTTCCAATTTAAAAAAAACACAGAGAAAGATGTTGATATGATGGATTTGTAATATATTTCCAAACTTTCAGATTCATTTCTGACAAAACTAGGACTGGGCTATAAACAGGGATGAGATTAGCCAAAAAGCAAAAAAGCTGAATTTCCACGATAGCAAATTTTACGCAAGCGCAACCCTTTAATAATAACAGTTTAAGGTAATAAATAATGTGTTGACATACAATTGTGTACTAATCTATCATTATATAAATGATTACATTGATACTTAACATTTTTTAGTGAAAATAAAAATTACCACCTGAAAAAATAAATCTGGAAATTATATTTTTCCCCAGTTCACATAAGAGACAATTATTACTTGAAAAACTACCTGGTTTAGCAAATTAAAACTACTGAGAATATACATTAATATTTCATTTCTTTTAATAAATACTGTAATGTGATTTATAGCAAATATATCAGTAATAATCAGTAATCTTTTTCCCCAAAAACAAATTAAATTAAATCTCTTTTTAAGTTATTGCTTTTGTTCGCTATATCTTTTATGTTTTCTACATTTAGTCGTTAGTCCATCTTCAAACATCTTGTGACAAATCCTATTTTTTCTTCTTTGCAAGCACAGAATGTAAGTTTTGAATATATTCCCTTCCAGTNATCATTTTTAGAAAATATAACATTAATATCTTTCTTAAGCAAAACATATACATCAAATTCATAAATTGATTTAAATCAATCTAAGTATGAAGTTTTGATAGAAATCCGACTTTCTGTGCCTTACAAGTAAATGAATTTCAAAAATACTATATCACGATACATCACTATATCCCGATGCAAAACTGACGATGCATCACGATATAAAATTTCTTATATCGCCCAGTCCTGGACAAAACTCTTCAAATTAAAGAAATATATCTTGGTATGTATAATAATTACTACAGAGTTTTATATATACAGTACAGTATCCGTTATCCCGAAATCAGAAAACCGGAAATCAAAAAACCGGAACAAAATTCGATAAATTTTCACGCCATTTTTTTTTTAATGTTTTTTTCCTCATAAGATTTTAGGATTTTTCTTTCTCTTTTGAAAGAAGTTTACCTTACCATCATTTTGGAAATAATCATTAGTGCATTACTTCATAGTTTTTACCTCTTTTTAAGATTATTTCCAAACATTTTTTTTTTTAAGTTGGGTTTAAGAATATAAAAAAAAAGGCTTTTTGTAGCGATTCAAAAAACCGGAAAAATCAGTTATCCGGAATAGCGATGGCCCCGATCGCTCCGGATAATCGGCTCCCTACTGTATATATATATTTTTTTTAAAAAAAGACTTTTGAATAAATCAGCAATTTTCAAAGGAGTTTCGTCAGTCAGATGGCAACAAAAGGGTTGAAACTAGTTACAAAAGTAAATAAATTGCTCCTCCTTTTTTCTTTTATCTAAGTTTTCCTTTTATCCACGTATGAAAGCTTTTTCTCTTATCTAAGTCTGAGACTGCATCTAAAACATTTGAGCCCCACATTTGGCCACTGGTTTGGTACTCATATGTTAGACTATAAAAATTATTATATTCAAATATCGCACCTGAATTTTCACTTCTTGCAATGTAATCTTCAACCTGTTCAATAGCCCTTTCAGCATACTCATCAATGGTTTCCTCTTCTTTACAACTCGTAATGACACTTTCAAACTGAGACAGGACTTCCTCTTCATCCTCACAATCTGATGTGACCTTTGATATAGATAAAAGGATAACAATCAAGTTTTAAAATTATTTTTAATACTAATATGAGTGGAGAATATTCATTAATAAATACTTTTATCTAACTTAAAAACAAATACAAACAAAAAATTAGATTTCTGAGTAAAGCTTAAAATAATGTTTTAGGAAATTTTATACAACAGGAAGATAAGCAAAAATAGAAAGAAGTTAACTTTTTAATAGTCAGTACGATTTTTTTGACAGATAATATAGTTAAACTATTTTTTCATAAAATGTATTAAAGAAATCAAGGCAAATTCAGAATTATCAAAACAGCAATTCTGCTTTGAACATGAAAACTGGATCAAACATGTGCAATGTACGTTTAACTCACTCAAATGTAAGCATAGTAAAGATTTTTCAATCCAAATATTTTAAAACTCATCACATCATGGCGTTTCTAATGGGATTTTAAGAGTTAGTACGTGTTAATGATTGAAATTTAAGTTACGAACAATCATCTTAAAAACACTAGTTTATTTCATGTTTTGTTTTAGCCTATTTAAAAATTATTCAAAAAAAAAAAACTCTTTTTCATACAATTATCCATTTTTCACAAAATAAGTAAAATTTATTCACATTTAATACAGACAAATTCTTGATATACTTTAAAATGAAAAGAAATCCTTAGCTCTGCATTATTGTACCACATTAAATCACAAAATTATTATTTAAATAGATGCTAAATAAGTAACATTTAAATAGATTACTAACTAAATAAGAGCAATGAATTACAAATTTAAGTTCTCTGATTTTATTAATTTCCCACTCTGTTTTATCACTGTTATTTTTTTTATGGATGACGGGATGAAGATTGCATCAAATAAAAGAAATATGACATCACTTCTGATTAACTTTTTTTAAAGCCCAGATTTCATTTTAGTATTTTGTTGAAATTTTTAAATAAATTAGTTTACAAAACTATTATAAATAAATTAGTTTAAAAAACTATTATGATCCTGAACAATTGTCTTAAATTTTGTGATTGTTTTTAAAATAACATTTTTTAGAAGATTTACTTTTACATTACTTTTAGAGCTGCATAATTCATAAATTAATTTAGACTTATTTTCGAATAGATAATTTTCCATATTGAGTTAAATTAGGACTTAAATAATTAGTTTAGTACAATAATAATAGTGGACTAAATTAATTATCTGTGCTTTTTATACATGACCTTTCATTGATTTAAAGTAAGTTTTTAAGATTCACTCTTTAATAATATTTCAGATTCTTTAGCAAATTTTTTAGTTGCTAATAAGAATTTATTTAGAACCCAGCTTTTCAATCACGCCTTAGGTTAAATAGGACTCACGTTAAATAGGAACTCAGGTTAAATTGGACTCGGAGAAAACCCTTTCTATATTATTACATTATAAACTTAAATTGAAAGATTAAAAAGTAAATTACTATATCACTATTAACTTTTTGAGGGGGCAGGAACTTTTTTTAAAAAATAAAACACAAGAATTGTTTAATTTATTTTAATTTGACTCTCGTAGAACACTGAATTGAATTTAAATGAATTTTTACATTATTTGGTTTACTTTGTGGTTAGTGTTGAAAACAACAGCCCTTTAAGGAGTTACATTTCATTTTATAACCGGCATTGAACAGCCTATAATCAGGGGTCTGTCTAGGTTTTTCTGAGAGGTACCCATTTTGTGAAAATTTAGACATAATTTGCGAAAAATTAAAAATTATATTAAAAAATCAACACAAAAATATGGTAAAAATATGAATTTATCGTTTCTTAAGGGATACTAAAATAAAATTTTAAGAAGAAGTATTTTGTGAAACTATCGTTTTTCCTAAAGTTGAATTTGTGAAACTACCGTTTTTCCTAAAGTTGAATTTGTGAAGGTACCGCTAAACGGTAGTAAATTATGCCTAGGCAGACCCCTGATAATCAATGTTCAATTCTGCAGCTCTGTAATTTTGAACCCAACCCAGAAGACAAGAGAACTCTTAGAACAAGCACTGGGACTAGCTAGCCATGCTGGAGGACTTAATGGAATTAAACCGTATTTGCGTTACATGGTGAGGAAAACCTCCCATGGTTAGCTAGACAACAAGGAGATTTTTAACCCAATCTTCACCTACCACTGAGGATATTTTACCTCAGAACATGTTATCAAAGTGAGCAAAGTATAGAATTTGAACCTGGGTCACTTCATTCGGAGGCAAATGCTCTATCTCCTGAGCTACCCCGGCTGAACTACGTATGGGCTAAAAAATGCAAAGTGGAATTTTGGTAAAATTTTGCTTACAGAATGCCAGAGAGTCCTACAGCTGCTCATAAACTAATGAACAATACATATTAACTTATTTCAATTTCCTATCTTATATATGTCAATTTTGTAATACAAATGTTTTAATTTTGTGTAAAATACAAAATGTGTGTTAATACAATAGAGAAATTTATTTTACATTTTTATAATACCTAATATGAAATAAATAATTATAGTATTTTATTACATTAATAGCAAAATGCTTAAATTTTTCAGTAAGATATTAATCAATTACAGAACTTGGTATGCAAATAATTTACAGAAGTAATAAATAATAAAACAGATATACTACAGAATTAAAAAAAAAAAAACATAAAACAGATAAAAAGAATTATGAATTATAAAATAGATACTGTACCAGTTCTTCAATTTTTTGAGCAGCAGATGATAAACTAGAAATTTGGCGTTGTAGTTCAGCTAAGTGTTTCATGCTTTCTTTTAAAGTTCTTAATTCTTTGGCAGCATCTGCTAAAAATCAATAAAGAATGTCACAAATCTAAATTAGTGTATTTTTTTCCCAACCAGAATATAGAAGTCATATTTAAACTATAAAGAGAAAGTAAGTTATAGAATTTAATAAGTTTTTTTTGTGTGTGTGCTAAAGGCATTAGACTAAAATACAAAATCAAAAAAGCACATCATCCTTTTACATAGATTGCTGTTCTGGGTGACAGATGTTATGTATTAAGTAATAGAGTCAATTGTTGATAATAATTAAGTTGCAATAAGGCCCAGGGCCGGATTTATGTATAAGCTAAATAAGCTGTAGCTTGGGGCCCCGAGATGGCAAGGGCCCCCAGATCCAACTTTTTCCTTCTTTTTTTAAAGTTTTATTCGGAGCTGGAGCCCTCTGAAGCCTAAAATACATTTTTTTTTCTTTATTACATTAGCGAACGCTTTTCAAAATCTAATAGAAGTGTTTACAAGTATAAAATGATTGTTACTTTTTTAACCAAAAGAGCAATAAAAAGGCCTTTTGACTGATGAAAATATCCTGTAGCTTTCGTAGCTACCAGTGATGGGAGTAGTCCATGGATCCTTAAAAGCGGTACTCCACAGAGTAGTCAAATAGCCGCCTCAATTTACACTGTGGGAAATGTTTTCAGCTTCTTTAAATTGCTGTGGGCTCTATTGTCCACAGAAACACCCTTTTGTCTGATTTCTGGGCAAAACATTTCTAGGGCTGTGGGAGAATCTTGTTTAGGGTCACTCTGTTTCGAGATTTCCGTTGTGTCTCATTGTCGTTAAGGAGCTTCTCGTTTAATTTTAACTTTTCTTTTTTGCAAAATATATGTTTTCCAATTTATTACAAAAGCTTTTTTTCCTTTCAATTATCCTAAATGTTTTAACTAGTTTAATTGTGTAATTTACTTAATTATTGTAATTGATTTTAATTTGTTATTTTCCAAATTTATCGTGCATGAATCCGTGAACTCCTTTCTTTATTTATTTAAATGGTGGGCCACCATTCAATTCCCGGTTTGACAGGCCCATCTGCCAAAATTCTTGCTTTGGTTTATTTTGGATGAAATTGAGATAACAGATGTGGTAATTTTACTTACTGCTAATAGACAGAAGCAACGTGTGATATTGCTTGATAGAGCATTGAAATCAAGTGATCATCAGCTAAACAAATGTTTAAATATATATGTAAAAAATATTGTTCAAACCTCCTGTCTGACCCAATTTTCATGTATCCCCGAAATATGAATTATGCTTAGTTTGTAAAATATGATATTTCGTACACAAAATTCATTCATTTAGTTAGCTTATGCTTTTATTGTTTATTGATCATACTTGTTTCTGCTTGTAACTCCCTGATTTTTGTTGTTATTATGTGTTTAAAGTTAATAGGGCGTCCAAATTCTTTAATTTATAAGGATTTCAAATTTTTAAAGCAAAGTCGAAATAGCTTCTTCAAATTGCAAATTGAAACTATTTATAAACTTTTGACAGATTTGTTTTTATTTTAAATCTGCGCATTTAATTAAATAAAATAAAAAAAGAAATAAAAAATAAGTTTAAAAAATATAAATAAATGGCTAGATAAAATATAAAACTGTGTTGTCAATGAAAAGGAACATATCTTTTAAACAATTTGAGTATTAATAAATTATTTAAAAATAAACAATTTGAAAAGGCAGAAAAGTTTTTTGATTTGTTTAAAAGGCAAATTTTGTCCCATCATTTGATCAAGAGACTATTTAATATCTGTTTCTAAGAAGCAGTAGGTCGCGTGTGGGTGTGTGGATGATGTAAGTAAAAGAGGCATACAAAAAAAGCCAATTTAACTTCAGTTAATGCCCTCGATATTATATTTTTAAACTCCTCGCAAAAATGTAGTAAAAAAGTTATACAAATTAATTGTCGCAAACAAATTAATATTAAGTAAGAACGAATCAAAAATGATATCGAAATATGCTGAATCACTAATGAGACAGGCGGGATGAAAGACATCGAAACCAATTTGATTAAATAGTAAAACTAGAAAGTGTTTCAAAAATCCGGACATGTATCAGGCTTCAAT